CTAGTTGAGGTTTAGTCCACTTTTGTATCCTTCCCTTCAAGGCTCAGGGGTCCAAGATTATCTTCTGTGTCTGTGTCAATTGGTTTCCCTTTTCTTTGTTGAAGAGGGTCTGTGCAATCCTTCTGCCTAGTCCACCATCTTGACGGAGCTCTACCTCCACAGAAATTCTTGCCCCTCCCCCAGCCCCGTAACCACTAAGGAACTTTTGTCTCCGCATTTGCCTTTTGTTGGACACCTTTCCTCTTTCGTACCTGACTTGTTTCTCTGGGAGTGTTTTCAGGGTTCGTCATGTCCTAACATGTATCAGGACTTCGTTTCTTTCTGTGGCTCTGTAACGTTGCATGTGTGGAGGGTCCACATTGTGTTTACCCTCATCTGTTGATGGGCTGTGGTTTGTCTTCACTTTGTAACCGTTGTGAATAGCTTGGTGATGAACACTGGTGGACACGAACGTGTTTGGGTTTGAGGTCTCCTTTTCTGTACTGACATTTACTGAAATGTTTATTTTGTTTTCTTCTTTAACATGATGCTTATTTTTAATGTGTTTCTATTTTTTCAAACTGTCTGAATTCTCTTGATAAACGATATGTCAAAACAGTGGATTCTTCTACTGTGTTGTGAAGTGACATTTACTTCTTTATTTTTAGACTTTGTGCAGCTTTATGCTTACAAAATATGTTGATCTTTGGTTTTGGTTTTCATTCTTTTATCGGTTTTTATTTATTTTTTTTAAGATGATTTGCTTTACTGTAATGAGTTAAGAGGTTCTTCATGTTTGTTCTTAACCTTCCACAAATTATTTAATCTTTGAATTTTTGTTTCCAAAAAGAGCACGGTTAACAGTTAAAGGAAACATAAGTAAATATCCTGAAAGTAACTCATCCAAAGGCTGCACAGCCACAGGTTGGATTAAGCTCCCAACCTGGAAACGTGATTGTTTCTAAGAGGCACCTTTAAAGCAAAAACAAACAAAAAAGATGTTTGACCAGTAGGAGGCGCAGTGAAGGGTGAACAAAGACTAAACTCAGAGAAGAATAGAGCAGTTGTTCATGTCAGAGTGATACTAAAACAGAAGCAAGAGAGACCCAAAACTCTGTTAGAAAAGATATTCCAGTAAATTCTATCTACCAGGTATTGTTGTTGTTGTAATGTGCCATCAAGTCTAATCCGACTCATAGCGACCCCTCCTTGTGTTTTCAAGGCAGTATCATCGTGGAAGTAGATTGCCCAACCTTCCTTCCGAGGAGTGACTGGTGGATTTGAACCGCCAGCCTTCTGGCTGGCACTCAAGTGCCTTAGGCACTATGTATCAGAGCTCCCTACCAGGAATTAGGACAATGAAATCTATCAAACAAAGATGAGAATTCCGGGGAGGAACTAGTGGACAGAGAGCTGTTGGTGGCCAGTGGTGACTTCTCTGTGACATTTTATGTACACAGTATCAGCAGAATGAGTAGGTCAAGCGGAGCCCAGTCTATGTGTCCGTTGAGTGGCGTATCTTTATCTGAATAGTGAGTGGACAGGGTGTGGTCTCAGACGCCTGACAGTTAAGACTGTTGCCGCAGCCTGTGTCGGGCAGTCGGGGTCAGACTGGGCATCACGTCCCCTCACCTTATGCTCTTACTCTGAGAAGCACCTTTATGGCTGATTCTGGCCACCATTCTGTAGTACAACTAGCAATTTATGGTGTTAAGTTCACACCAGGGCTTTGCAACTGATTTTAATCTCTGTTCTCTCTGGATGAACTCATGGTTTTTCTGTGATTTGAATTATCCTCAAAAGAATTTTACTTCTAAAAATATTTATTTGTGATTTGGAAATCAGTGATTTGGGCCTTCATGCAGCAGACCAGAGCAAATAAAATGTGAACAGTGATCCCTTTATTTAAAGAAAAGCATTTCATCTCTGAGTGTCTTGAGGCAGCTGTGTTAACAGTGGTGTCAGGGGGACCGGGGGTGAGGGTGGACAATGGTGTCGAGGGCACCAGGGGTGAGGGTGGACGGTGGTGTTGGGGGGACCGGGGGTGAGGGTGGATGGTGGTGTGGGGGGACCGGGGGTGAGGGTGGACAATGGTGTCGAGGGCACCAGGGGTGAGGGTGGACGGTGGTGTTGGGGGACCGGGGGTGAGGGTGGACAGTGGTGTTGGGGGGACCGGGGGTGAGGGTGGATAGTGGTGTGGGGGGACCAGGGATTGGGATGGATGGTGGTGTGGGGGGACCGGCATTCAGGATGGTCAGTGGTATAGGGAGATCAGAGTGGACAGTGGTGTGGGGGGACCAGGGATCAGGATGGATGGTGGTGTGCGGACATCAGGATGGACGGTGCTGTGGGGGGATCAAGGATCAGGATAGACAGTGGTGTCAGGGAATAGGGATAAGGGTAGGTGGACCGGGTGTGAGGGTGAGACATTTCTTACCAGGCACAGTCTTAGTTTATCAGACAAATGGATCAGTAGTTACAGTAACACAGAGCCTGGTCGACAGTGTTACATAAGCACTGATGTCAGGATACAGTTACTTCACTGTTGCAGGGCCTGCCCTCCTGGTCTTAACTACCTGTCACTTCACTACTGTGCTCAGTGCACTAGTTGTCATGTTTATTATTATGAAAAACTCTTATAGAAAAGATACTGATCATAAAAATAGTAGCAATAGATTGGAATCCATCATAAACCAAAAATGTAATTTTTGTTACTGTTTTCTTTGGAATTCTGTTAAGTCGGACCCAAAGGACAGTGTGAGAAGAACTGGGGCCCTGTGCTGTGGTTAAGGTGGCGTAGTGGGGAATTTGCTTGGCTGCTAACCAGAAGGTCCGCGGTTCAAACTTACCAGCTTCTTCACGGAAGGAAGATGGGAGGATCTATTCCACAAAGATTCACTGCCTCAGAAATCCAGTGGGGGTCAATATGAGTCAGAACTGACTCAACGGCTGTGGGTTTGGTTTGGTTTTGGTTTTGATTTATGCTGTGGTTGGAGTCCCTGGATGACACACATGGTTAAGTGCTCAACTACTAGCTGAAAGGTGGTACCTTGGAAGTGAGGCCTGCTGGTCTGCTTCTGACATGTCACAGCTGTGAAAATCTGGTGGAATGTGGTCAGAATTGAGTCAATGGCATTGACCAACAGCAACACGTTGTGGTCATGAACATGTTTTTTGATGGCTGTGTCACAGGCTTTGTCAGGTCCTGGTTTTTCTCAGCTCCCTTTATTCGAGTTGGGTCCTGGCTCCTGGTGATACCATGCACAACAGAATCACACTGTTGTCATCCACAAGGTTTCCATCGGCTGAGTTTTCCAGATCTTCCTTCCTAATCTGCCATAGTCTGACTACCCAGGTCTTTTAGATAAAATTCTTGAAGAGCAGAAACAGTCATGTCAGTTGCAAGTTAGAGAAACAGAGCTGATAGGAGCAGTCACTGTGTCCTCTGGGATTTGTGTCTGTCAGAGGTGAAGGGGTAGGTCAGGGTCACGTCAGTGTTTCTGTTGAGTCAGAGGGCTCTGATGCCACGGTGGTTATTGTTAACCTAGGAGCAGACCAACCCACTGCCTTGAGAGGGTTCCAACCACAGCGCCCCTAGAGGACAGAGTGCAACTGCCCCCCCAGCGTCTCCAAGGCAAGTCAGTCTTCACAGAAACAAAGTCCAAACCACTCCCACTGCCGTGGAGTGGATTCCATTCACAGTGCCCCTAGAGGACAGAGTGGAGCTGTCCCACAGGGTTTCTGAGGCTGTCAGTCTTCACAGAAGCAATCTGCCTTATCTTCCTGCTACAGAATGTTGAGTGGCTTCAAACTACCACCTTTTGGTTAGCAGCCAAATGCCTTAGGCACTGCACCAGCAGAGCTATTAGTTGCCTTTAAATTGGTTGCAACTTTTAGACCCCATGTGTGCAGGGTAGAACTGCTCCATGGGGTTGTCAGGGCTGTAAGTGACCTTTCAGAGGCTGGTCACCAGTGCTTTCCTCCACGGTGCCTCTGGGTAGAGTAGAACCTCCAGCCTTTTGGTTCATACACAAACACTTCACTGTGCTGCCCAGAGACTCCTGATAAAGCTGGAGGAAGTTGTTCTGGGGCCTGATGTGACTCCTCTCACCAGAAGGCAATTGTTTCGAGCAGGGCAAAAAGTGCGGGTGTGGGTGTGTGTCTGCGTGTGTGTGTGTGGGTGTGTAGGAGGAAGAGAAGAACCTGTCCCTAGGTAAAGACAGTGGGCATCTACCCAGTCTCCAGGCACTGTCTGAGTTGGAGGACGTGCAGTGTGGCGGCTGCCCCTGCCCTCGCTTGAGTCCCATCTGTGAGAAGTGCCCCTACAGCCTCCCCGAGGATGACAACAGTAGTGCATGGTGTTCGGCGTGCACCACCTGCATCTCCTGCCAAGATGCCGGCAGGGCTGTTTCCAATGCCCTCTCTCTCTTTCTCTCCCCCCACCTTCTCCAGCTCTGCTTACGACAATGTCAACAAAGTCCGAGTAGCCATCAAGAAGATCAGCCCCTTTGAGCACCAGACCTACTGCCAGCGGACGCTGAGGGAGATCAAGATCCTGCTGCGCTTCCGGCACGAGAACATCATCGGCATCAATGACATCATCCGTGCGCCCAGCATCGAGCAGATGAAGGACGTGTATCCTCCCAGGCACCTGGTGCCCGTGCGCTCACCTCGTGGGCTAAAGCTGCTGAGCCGACAGGGTCCAGCATGTTTGAGGGAAAGTGGTCATCTGCTTGGCTGTGACACACGCATGGTCTACAGCCGTTCTTCTCATCTGTTACTAGTTGCCTGTGACTATGTCTGTTACCTTGGAGGCAAATCCATCACGCCATCTATCGTTCTCAGTACCATTCCTCTAATAGTTAGGGAAAATCCTGCCTATTACCATTTCCGGTCATGGCTTGGTTTTTCCATCCAAGGTTTGGTTTACTGCGATCGCAAAAAGCAGGGCCCTGCAAACCCACCCGGTCAGATCCTGAGTTTCCTGATTGTAGACGGGTGCTTCACCTCTTCAGATCTGCTTGCCCGTCGCTGCACTTAACAGAACTGGACCTTACTATCTCTCAGGCCCACCAAGTCCTGAGATTGCGGGATTGACTGGCTAGCATCTAGAAGTCTGGCCAGAGCAGGTCCTGGAGCAGCTGCCTGGGGAAGGCCACGTTTGAAAGGGAGGGGCGTCGTGTTCATGGAAGAGCAGCTACTGTAGGAGCGGAGGGAGTGGGGGTCCGCTCGGGGACCAGTTGGCATTCTGCCCTCCAGGGAGAGGCAGCCCACGGTCACCAGGCGGTCCGTCTGTTTTTAGACAGCTCTGTCCCTGACTTGTCCTATTTTAAGTGACGTGCCTTCTGCTGCTACCACCTGTTGGCCCTGCTTTGCCTTTTGCCGTGAAAATCAAGTGTTTAGCAGGGGACACTTCCTCAGGTTGTGTTTCCTTTGAATCTCATATACTCCCACCTTGCATGAGTTCTAGCATTATGCTTAGAAGTGTCATTAATCTATTGGTTAGTAAGTTACTAATCTACAGAATGATGTCTACACAGACGTGAACGGAAGGAAAAACACTGCCAGTGACCTAGTATCCCGGTGAAGTTCACCGCTAGAGGTCTTTATCGTGGGTTTCTGTACGAGGGCAGGGGGCCGTAGCCCACCTTCCACATGCTCAGATGCACAGATAGGAAAGCAAGAGCAGCAAGTGCAGAACTGGCAGTAGACGTTCTATTGCCTTGTGGTCTTAACATCACAGAAGACGTAAGCAGGTAGACTCAGGCTTGGATTTGGCAGTAATGTTTCCTAGACCAGTACTGCCAGAAGTCTGATGGTTGCTTCTTGAGAGGATAGGACAAGGGAGGGGGAGGAAGGGCAGAAAGGGACAGTGCTGGTGTAGGTTGGTGCTGGACCAAGGAGTTGTCTGATGTCAATGAGTTAATTCCAACCCTTGGGAACCCCACGCGTCGCAGAGCAGAACTGCTGCATAGGATTTTCTCGGCTGTAACAGTGGACACAGATCTACAGGCCTTTTACTCTGTGGGACCACTGGGTGGGTTCAAACCATGTATGCCACCTAGGGACCTGGGCCAGGAGAGGAGGGAGTGTGTGATGCTTGCTGACCACCATCCTTCCCAGCCCTTCTCAGCAGCCTTGGTGGGAGCTTGTCGATGATGGACCACTTGGAGCCTGAGAAGGTGGGATTGGTCAGTCTTGGCCATCACAACCTATTTCAGACCTCAGTCTCATTCAGTCACATCAGGGGGTTCTAGCAGGATCTGAGAAAGAGTTGACTCCTTCTTATGCCTTCTGGGAAGGGTTACTCAGTTTCCGGTTTTTTGCTGCCTTTTCAGGCCTCAAGATGTACTTGTGGACTGGTTGGGAGGAGGGTCAGGGGAGGGTGTGTGTTGTCATCAGTGAGGGTCAGGGGAGGGTATGTGGTGTTGTCACTGAGGGTCAGGAGAAGGTATGTATTGTCATCAGTGAGGGTAGGGGAGGGTAGATGTGGTTATCAGTGAGGGTTGGTAGGGTGTGTGTTGTCAAGGTCCGGGGAGGGTGTGTGTTGTCATCAGTAAAGGTCAGCAGAGGGTGTGTGTGTTGTCAGAGTCAGGGGAGGGTGTGTGGTATTGTCATCAGTGAGGGTCGGGGGAGGAGGGTGTGTGTTGCTGTCAGTGCCTCCCTGCATGTGCCCTGCTATTGGCTGTGGCCCTTAACGTGTCCCTGCAGGTACATCGTGCAGGACCTCATGGAGACGGACCTCTACAAGCTGCTGAAGACACAGCACCTGAGCAACGACCACATCTGCTACTTCCTCTACCAGATCCTGCGGGGGCTGAAGTACATCCACTCAGCCAACGTACTGCACCGTGACCTCAAGCCTTCTAACCTGCTGCTCAACACCACCTGCGATCTCAAGGTCAGCGGCCCCTCCTCGGGTGACGCCCTGTGGCGCTCATTCCCCAAACCGCACGTCCGTCTCCCCGCAGCTCTGCTGCTTACCCTTACTTAAAGTTAAACCAGAAAAACACAGGAATGTTCTTATGGCAAAAAACGTATGTAAAAACGCTGGTCGTCTTCTTCCCTTCTCCCCGTTATTCCCTCCTCTCCAGAAGGAACCGTCATAGCAGGTGGATGCGTATTCTTCCAAGCTTTTCTCTGTGCAGTGACGTGTGTACTGCTGCTTATGTACATAGGGTTGTGTGCATGATACGGAAGGTTAGAAGTCACTTGTGTCACGGGTGACCAGTAACACCTCAGCAAACAGAAGGAAATGTAGCCTGACTGACACTCGGGCATAATGATCCCTGATCCTTCACTGACCTTGGTCTCTGAAAACACCAGCATTCTTGGATTTCTGTTTCTATAGGTGCCAGAGTTACTCAAGGTGGGAGGTGGGGGGGTGGCTTAGATGAAGTAGAGGTGTGGGTCCAGTCTAGTAAAATGTACACGAATTCAAGAAGACCTGAATACATGGGAAGGCAGCCTGTGTGCAGGGACCTGGGACGGGTCTGCAGATCAGTGTACTTCTTACCAAAGCACCAGCTGGCTTTTGTTTGTTTGTGTTTGTTTTTGCAGAAATTGACAGTCTGATCCTAGAATTCATATTGAAATTCAGGGGACCCAGAGTAGCCCACAAAATCTTGAAAATAAAAAGTTGGAGAACTCACATGCATGATTTTAGACCTTACTAGAAAGCTATAGTAATCAAGACAACATGATATCTAGATGTAACAACTGGTGTCTCATCTAGAGCAAGCAAGACTGAAGAAAACCAAAGACGTGTGGAAATAGTGAGTCCAAGGAACTGGCAGACTATGCGATCCTCAGCCTACATGACCGTGAGACCAGAGGAACTAGATGGTGCCCAGCTACCACTGTCAACCACTCGGAGAGGGATCAGTGCAGGAGATCCTAGATAGAGTCGGGGAACAATGTGGAACAAAACTCAAAATCATAAAAAAGACCAGACTCACTGGTCTGATAGAGCCTGATGAGACCCCTGAGTTATCTTTCAGGCCTGGAATTGAACTCCCATGGCTTCCAGCCAAACAATAGACAGGCATATAGAGTGAACATTTACACCACGTAGGTACAATCTTTACAACAATCAGTCATGGGAGGTCAGAAGGGCAGTGTTTGCACAGGCAGATAGCTCAGGGGGCAAGAATGCATAGGAAAAAAGGACACAGGGAAAAGGTGACCACAGAGAGGAAGTGGAACGAGAGCTGTTATGTGGTGGGGATTACAATCAATATCATAAAACAAAACATGTACGAATGGTTGCTTAGAAAACCAGTGTGCTTTGTAAACTTTCACCCAAATCACAATTTAAAAAAAACAGCATGGTAATCGCGTAAGGCCAGACATAGAGAACAGTGGGATAGAGTAGGAAGCCCAGAGGGAAATGTCGGCCTGTACTGCCCATTGACTGGAGGCCACTGGGGAGGAGACTCTTTTCCAAATGAGTTCTGGGACAATTGGATAGCCACATGCGAAAGAATGAGGTTGACCTTCTCCTTCACACCCTACACAGAAATGCCCTCACATGGCCCATGGCCCTAAAGGAAGAGCTAATAAGACAGTACTGCTCTCAGAAAGGGAGCTCTGGTAGCGTAGTGTCTAAGGCACTTGACTGCTAACCAGAAGGCTGACAGTTCAAACCCACCAGCCACTCCTCGGAAGGAAGATGAGGCAATCTACTTCTGTAGTGATCCTGCCTCGGAAACCCAAGGAGGGGTCACTATGAGTCGGGTCCGACTCGACGGCATATAACGACGACAACAATGCTCTCAGAAACGGGGGTGAGCCCATGTGATCGTGGGGTTCAGGCAGCATCTTCCTAGATTGGACACCAGAAACCACAAGCAGCACAGACCAGACAGCGGGTTCCACGAAGATTCTGCACATGTGCCACCAACAAGACCAGCAAAGGTGAAAAGACAGCCCGTTTTAGGTTACAAAATGGGGGAAATCCTTGTATGTCCTGTCTGACAAGGGACTCAGATCTAAAACAGAGAATGCTTACAAATCACTGCAGAGAGAAGTAGCCCAGCTTACTACTGGGCGGAGGGCCCACAAATGACCGACAGGCACGGTCCTTGATGGCAGTAGTCACCAGGAAACTGCAGGTCAGAGCACGGAGAGAACCCATGTCACACCCCGTGGGGTGCTGCCGTGCGGGAGGCCTGACAGCATTCTGAGAGCATTGTTGTCGTCGTCACATGCCGTCGAGTCGGACCCGACTCATAGCGACCCCTCCTTGGGTTTCCGAGGCAGGATCACTACAGGAGTAGATCGCCTCATCTTCCTGACAGAAGGTGTTGGTGAGGGGGTGGAGAAGCTGGGGCTCCCACGCTGCGGCTGGGAAGGTAGAATGACAGCTGCTCTGGAAAGCAGTGGGGCGGCTCCTTAAAATGCCAACCACAGAGTCACCATATAACCAGCTGCTCAACCTCCCTACTCAAGAGAATGGAAAATGTGCATCCCACAGAGACTTGTACAGGAATTTTTTTCTTTTTTTTTTTGGCGTTTTTGGGAAAAGTGTACATAGTGAGTTAGATTCTCGTATTACAGTTGCTGCACAAATTGTTCAGTGGCATGAGTTACGTTTGAACACAGTGGTGAGTGCTCTCTTTAACTGGGGATGGGACTCTAGTTACCACATTCCCTCATCTTCTCATCTTTGCTTTTAAGAAATTGTTGACCTTCTGGTCTCATACTGACGGTTTCTAAGAAGGAACCAATACTTTATGTAATGGCCTTTATTTTATGTTCCACTCTGCTGTTTCACTAAAGGGTGGTCTCAGGATAGGCTTGAGTCTATGTTGAAACATCATCTTAGGCTGGTAGTCTTGGGGGACCTCTGTTCTCCACTGGTCCAGTTTGGCCTTTTTTTAAAAAACAAATAATATATATATATGTATGTATATGGAAGCTCTGGAAGCGTAGTGCCTAAGGCACTTGACTGCTAACCAGAAGGCTGGCGGTTCAAACCCACCAGCCACTCCTCGGAAGGAAGATGGGGCAGTCTACTTCCATAGTGATAACTGCCTCGGAAACCTAAGGAGGGGTCGCTGTGAGTCGGGTCCGACTTGACGGCACATAACAACAACAACAACATATATATGTGTATATATGAATTTGAGTTCTCCATATGCTCTGCCGTTCTACCCAGGACCAGCGATTGTGGCCCCATCAAAACAGTCGGTGTGGTAGTCAGGCACTGTACAGTTCTTCCGGTCTCAGGATACATGAAGTTGTGTTTCTTATAGGCTTGTCCCTCTTCACTTTTGGTTACCTTCATACTGTCTTGCTCCTGGCGATTCGAAACCTAGAGTTTTATCTTAGATGGCCGCTTATCATACTTTGAAGATTTCAGATGCCACACACGGCACTGGGATGCAGATCATGACTTTGGTGAACTGTGCTTGACCAGTGACTGAGTTGCCCATGAGACTACGATCCTGAGCCTTTAAACCGAGAAAACTGGTCATTGGAAGAATGATGGATATGTCAGTGGAGAGTCCATATTTGTGTTTTCAGCAAATTCAGGGGCCTGCACCCATATGTTTGTGCTTGCATGTACCCTAGTTCCTTCCCTGTTCTTGGCCATGTGTTACATCTGTGCCTACCATACCCCAGTGTGCCCGGACCCATCCGTGCATGTTCAGACACTTGTTCATACTTTAGTTGTGCACAATACGTCCACCATCAGTGCCACTTTTCCCATCCCCAGAATCATTAGTCTCTACTGTACACAGCATTGTGTGTGACTTTCTGTAACAGCAGTTCATCCATCGACTAGGGGCTAAAGTAAAATGTCCACACAGTGGAATAACTGTATACAGCTTATAAATACGGTAAGAAGGATGGTCCATTGGTACCCTCGTTCATGGATGACTCCTCCAAACATGAAGGAGTCCAGCCGCAAAGGACCACAGGTCGGATTCCACTTAATGAAACGTCCAGGACAGACGGAAGGTGGGTTAGTGGTTGCCCAGTGCTGGCAGGATGGAAGGAGGTGGGAAGGAGTATGGGGTTTCTTTTTGGGATGATGAAAGTAGTCTACAGTCGGGTGGTGTTGACAGTTATACTTATCCGTGGACATAAAACAAAAGGCCTTTGGATTGTACCATTCCAGTGGGGTGAACGGACTGATATGTGAATTACATCTCCGCAGAGCTGTTTCACAACATGGGGATGGAAAGCTGTAACCAGCCGTCTCTTGGGTTTCAGCTGAGCGGACTTCACTGTGAGAATCCCTGTGAGGTGCACCAGGCAAACGATATGGACATCTGCCCCTGAAATCTGAACACTGATGTCTCAGAGCTCCGTTTGTAAGGAAGCATGCTGAAATGAGCAGTGTGCATGTGCAGAGGGAGACAGGGCCGTCATGGCTGGGCTGTGAGTGGTGCTGGGAAGAGAGAGGTGGCTGTGCCGGCCCTCCAAGAACAGGCAGGTGCTCCATTGGACACAGCTTGCTATAGGCAGAGGGAACAGCAGAAGTCCAGGTAAGAAGGAAGAGATGGCATGAAACAGGAGCCCTCTGGGTGTGGCTGTGCGCTGAGTGAGCTATCGGGAGCAACTGGCTGGAAGCAGACCCTGGAGGGCCTTTTGGAACTCTCTGAAAGAGCCCGATCCTGGGCAGGTTCTCTGAGCAGGTAGCAGCTTCCTGCATCGGTGCTGTGGGTCTGACAGTGTGGTGACGTCCATGAGGTGTGCTAGAGGATGCCTGTCTTCGGCAGATACTGGGGGGAGCTCTGTCACCCCACGGGACCTTCTCTTCCTTGTGCTTTCCACGTGGGGTACAGCCTCACAGGACCGGGGTCTTGTTCCTTTCCCAAGGATCCATACAGCTGTAGGCAGGGTGGCTACACAGGCTGGAATCTCCTGCGCGAAACAGAAAAAATGACAGTG